CTAGTAGCTTATTGCTTCTAATAGCTTTTTGTTACTAGTAGTAAGGCACTTGTTACTACTAGCGTGGCACTTGTTACTAGTACGGGTTGAAAAATGTTTTGCCAAAAGAATGGCTTTCCAAATCATGTCGACTGCTGAACAATTATTCGCACCAAAAGGTGCCCCAAAATCTGCAAGCGAAAAGCGAAAGCATCTTGAAGGTCGCCACACTGGGCACCATTTGCACATAAAAGACAATTGCAACATCAGAAACAATTGGCAAAATGACGCAACACATGCAGAGCAATTTGTCCACCTAGATTATGTTCAAAGACGCTAGGTTTTGTGGCAGATTCAAGTTTGGCTTGGTTCTCTCAAAATGTGCTTGTGGGTTGGGGCCACACTTTGTTTCCATTTTTCTTGGTTTTGATGCTGTGAAGTGACTCTTTAGGTTTTAAAGCTGCTTCTTTTCATGCTTTCAGTCAAGGTGGAGCGCCAGCCAGAGGGCAAGCCAGAGCGCACGGTAGATGGCCGGGTGGAGCGCGCAGACCGCCGCGAGTCCATCAGCCGGAGGGGTTCACTGTCGCCGCCCAGGCAAGATTTGTGTTTTCGATGAAACCTCGAAAGCCTAGGACCAAGGGACGCTACTAGGAGCAAAGGGCTACTAGGAACAAGGACGCTACTAGGGGCTCCTGGCCTTACTACAGTAACAAGAATTAGAATTGGAAGTACATGTTTAACTATATAGTAGCAAAGGACGCTACTAGGAGCTTTTTCGCGCGCTCAACCTAACCTGGAAGCGATGGCCTCCAACCTAGCAGTAATTGCCTCCAGCCTACTAGCGATGGCCTCACCCTAGAAGCGATGGCCTCCAACCTAGAAGCGTGGGCCTCCAACCTAGAAGGGATGGCCTCTAACCTAGAATGCGATGGCCTCCAACCTAGAAAGCGATGGCCTCCAACCTAATAGCAATGGCCTCTAACCTAATAGCGATGGCCTCCAACCTAGAAGTGATGGCCTCCAACTTAATAGCAATGGCCTCCAACCTAGAAAGCGATGGCCTCAAACCTAGAATGCGATGGCCTCCAACCTAGAAAGCGATTAATAGCAATGGCCTCCAACCTAAAAGCGATGGCCTCCAGTCTAGAAGCGATCTTTTAGCTAATAGCGATGGCCTCGAACCTGGAAGCGATGGGGAGTGACAAATTCATCCCAGCAAAGGAGGAATGCGTAACAGCTCACACCCATGTGATCAAATATATAATGCACACAAATCAAGAAGCTTTCTTTTACTGAGACCGCTTGGCCTCAAGAAACAACCAGCTTCGCAGATAGCGATGCTGTTGTGGCCTTGATGTAGGGGCACAGCCAGGAGTGTGGAGAGTAACCCATAGGGTTTCGTTGGTAACCTGAATGATCTTGAAACGATCTTGAATGCTTGTTTGCGTCGATTTCCAGGCGCAAGGCCTCGGAGAGAGATCTCCGGGCACGAGAAAAAATTGGGAAGCTACTGGTCGGGTTCTAAGTGAGCTTTGGAGGAGCTTTGGTTCGGACTCTGAGCGGTGTTGTTGGAATCATTCATTTATTGACTCAGACGTGCAGGTGGCCCATTATGAAGTTTCCACCCGAAGTGAGGCACATGTGCAGTTTGCTGGTTGACGACTATGTTGGTCTGTCCTAGATATTCGAACCTGTTGCTCATTGATCACCCCTGCTTTTTCAGTGACAGGCGAAGAAGCAACAAATGCTGATGCGGGTCATCTTGGCAAACGAGGAGGGTCGGGTCGCTCTGGCGGCCCTACATCGAAGAAAAGAAGAATGGAACCCCTTGCTCCTAGTAGCGTCCTTGCTCCTAGTAGTAAGGCCAGGAGCCCCTAGTAGCGTTCTTGTTCCTAGTAGCGATGCCCTTTGCTCCTAGTAGCGTCCTTGCTCCTAGTAGTACGGCCAGGAGCCCCTAGTAGCGTTCTTGTTCCTAGTAGCGATGCCAGGAGGCCCTAGTAGCGTTCTTGTTCCTAGTAGCGATGCCAGGAGCCCCTAGTAGCGTCCTTGTTCCTAGTAGCGATGCCAGGAGGCCCTAGTAGCGTCCTTGCTCCTAGTAGTAAGGCCAGGGGCCCCTAGTAGCGTTCTTGTTCCTAGTAGCAATGCCAGGAGCCCCTAGTAGCGTCCTTGCTCCTAGTAGAGAAAGCCAAACAAATCGAACGCTGCAAACTGCTATTTGCATCTAGGAGAAAAACTCTGAAGCTTTGACGGAGGGCCTGGCTCTCTTGCAAAATGCGCAAAATCTCATAGGCGCTCGCACAACGAGAGGGTCAAGCAGCAAATAGAGCCGAATATTTTAAACATTTCCAGCCTTTTTAACATGTTCCACTTTGACAGACAGGCTTTGGTTTAACGTGTTGGGCCATGGTGGCATTGTTCGCTTTGTGACCCGCAGGTGGCGAGAAGAGCACAAAAAGTCGAGTGACCCTCAAAGCTTTGTGCCTGCTGGATCGGAAAATCAATGTTGGACACCCAGAGCGACAATCAATGCGCTACTAGGGGCAAGGATGCTACTAGGGGCTCCTGGCCGTACTACTAGTAACAAGAAGCTACTAGGGGCAAGAGAGCCACCATCAATGCGCTTCTTGTTCGTAAGGCCAGGAGGGCCCCGTTCGTAGCGTCCGATCGCTCCGTTCGTAGCGATGATCGGCGATGCCCTTTGTTACGAACATAGCGTCCTTGTTCCTAGTAGTACGGCCAGGAGCCCCTAGTAGCGTCTTTGCTCCTAGTAGCGAAGCCCTTTGTTTCTAGTAGCGTCCTTGTTGCTACAATGCGCGACGATTCGTTTTTCAACTCGCTCTTCAAAGTCAGAGCCGACGAGGTGAGGTCCACCATTGCTGACTCTGTTCGAACTTTGGAGGCGCTAAAACATCGAAAGAGAGAAAGAAAAGAAAACGTAAAAACAAACAAGACAAGAGCAAGGACGCTACTAGGGGCTCCTGGCCTTACTCCTAGGAGCAAGGACGCTACTAGGGGCTGCTGTCTTGTTACTATTAGCTTCTTGTTACTACTAGTAAGGCACTTGTTCCTAGTAGCGATGCACTTGTTACTAGTAAGGCTTCAAACATCGACAAGGGCAGGGCTTCTCACGCCTTCGTGGGAATTTGCCCACAGGAACTTACGCGCCGCAAAGAGAAGTTGCTGGTGGACATGGTTCCGGCGGGAAAAGAAGAGGAGTATGAGTCCACGTGTAGGGCCTATGTAGGGTGTCCTTGTTACTTATTACTAGTGGCTTCTTACTCCTAGTAAGACCAGGAGCCCCTAGTGGCGTTCTTGCTCCTAGTAGGGTGTGTAGTGCGTGTTTGCAGATGTGACATGTAGTACGTAGGGAACGGTGTAACCGTGAACTTCATTCGCCGAAGGATGTCTCTGCCTCTGTTGGACTTCATTTGGAGGATGCAGATCTTAGGACGGACTCGTTTGCCACCGGACTTTATTGTAGCAAACATTGCTAGTAGTAACAAGTGCCACGCTAGTAGTAACAAGTGCCTTACTAGTAGTAACAATAAGCTAATAGTAACAAGACAGCAGCCCCTAGTAGCGTCCTTGCTCCTAGGAGTAAGGCCAGGAGCCCCTAGTAGCATCCTTGCTCCTAGTAGCGATGCCCTTTGCTCCTAGTAGCGTTTTGTTTCAATCGCTCCGAAGAGACCGAAGAACAGATTTTCTCAGGCTTGCAGATGCCTTGAAAAAATCTTGGGAAGAAGTCCATCGGGAGGAGGGGGCCAGAGAGGAGAAACTCACATGGAACAGAATTTCATACAATTCATACAATTTGCATCACTTTCAAGCGCAGGCAAGCAGCTGGGCTCCCGAAAAGGCTAAGGCACATCACTTTGAGACGGACATGACACATGGCCACATATGGCCACGTGGCACCATTTGCTGTTTGGAAGTACTGTCAACAAGTGTTTCATGCTGTGAAGTAGTCTGTGCAGGAGAGTGCAGCCGTTTCTCCCTGAGACATTTGTAGAGAAGGTTTTGGCAATTTTTGTCAAGAACGTGGACTTCAGTTCTCTCAGTTCGGCGGATTGCATTTTTGGCCCCCGCACGGCATGTGTTTTTTTTCTTCAAGTTGCCTCTGGCTGTGTTAGGAGCGATCGGACGCCACTAGGAGCAAAGGGCATCGCTACTAGGAGCAAGGACTCTACTAGGTTTGACTCCTGTGACTCCTGCAGCCTGTGTCTTCAGTCACATTCCATCTCTCTCCATTCCTTGTGACAAAGGATGTCGCTTCATCTGAGTTTACCCGTCATTTGATCCTATCTCGGATATTAGTTTTCTCAAACGATTTCGTATCTCGCTTGACCACATGCCAGAATCACATCCTGCGAATCTTTGAATATCGTTTGCAGTTTGTTTGCAGTTCTTGTGTCTTCTCGTCTCATGGCTGTGGTGACCCCACCACTGCACTTAAACCGATTCAAGAACATGTCGCCTGCTTGGGATTTTGCTCCATAAAGTGTTCAATGTAAATTTGAGACCAAATTGATCAACACCAAAGGTTCATGCCGAATGAGTTCTGAGGTGAAAGTGTTTGAGCGACTCAAGCACAAGAAAGAGGCACGAAGGAAAGAATGGAACACAAGTGACAAATGTGTGATTCTGCTCAATGCGCCTGTGGTGCAGTCGTGCAAATATCATTTGCCTAGGCAGAGAGAGAAGCGGCTCTTGAGCAGGTTGTCCGGTTTAGTTGTTTGGTGAACTCTTGTGACTTGCTGAAGTCTGTGTCTACTACTTGCTCAACCATGTTGTGTTGCGAATTCTCGGCTCGTAGACATGAGAAACGGAACTGGTATGATAGAACTACCGTGCAGCTGGTTGCATCGAACACCCACACCCAACCTCAAACCCTTCCGCTACAGGCTCAACTTTGGAAAGTTTCGCGGTCAATTCCAATATGAGAGGTTGACACGTCCTTAAACACCTACATTTCAACGAGGATGACAAAGTCAACTTTGTGACAGAACAAATTCTCCTGCAAAACGGATGCACTTCAGCGAGAATGCCGTGTAGCTCATGGGTGAAAGAGCGCCTTGGATGTGGAAAACAGAGCTTGAAAACTGTAGTTCAGTTTGGACGGATTGTGCTTTCACGACTGGTGTCAGGCCGATGAGAGAACCAGTTGGGTGCTTCGGAGGCAAAGCTCGATTAAGTGTTGCACAAGAAAACACCTTAAGTGTTCAACATGTGTTTCTCTGTTTCAACTTTGTTAGGCACTCGAAATCCATTCATCTTCGCTAATGCTTCTCATCGCAGGGTCAGCACCATCTTTGCTGTGCGCAAGGAGAAACTGGAAGCTGGCTTACAATTTAGAACGGACAATTTAACTTGTTGGAACTCAGCTCTCTCCAAGTTCTTGTTCGCTAAGGAGAAGTTCCTTCAACTTTTTGGAGAGGATACGAGCTCCAGCCGAGTCCTGGACACTTTCCTCAATGAGGCCGAACATCGAGAAGTTGCCGCAAAACATGTGTGAACCACTGTGTGAAGGTATAGAATCAAGCAAACACGTGCAGGTGGAAGTGCCAGCTGTTTTCTTTCATTTGTGGGGCACCAAGCATTCCAGCATTGGAATGTAGCGGTTCAACGTCAGCGTTTTCCATATGTCGGTGCAAGAAACCATTTGCCCAGGTCAACAAATGCTGACAGCTGCACGACTTCCACCGATTTGCCCACGGCGCAGTTGCTGAGATTCCCCAAACTTAGACAAGTCCACAGTCAAAAAACAAAATCAGTAAACACTTGGCCGCTAGTAGAGGTGAGGAGGTAGGTTAGCTAGAGGTAGCTAGTAGCTAACAAGTAGGCTTCTAGCTACTAGGACGCTACTACCTTGGATGCAGGATAGCTCACGCTTCCTTGACGAAGCGCTCGCACTATTCATTTGGTTCCTAGATTTTTAGGGAAACTTAAGCTAGTAGGGAATTTGGTTCTTTGGCTTTCAGCAATCGTCGAATCTCATGTATATAGCTACTTTATCTTCAGCGTTTTCATTTGGTGCAAGATCCATGCCAGTAGCTGTTCCAATGCTGGCTGGATCCAGACATGGCTGGATCCTCCCAATTCAATATCTGCTTCGTATCCTTCGAGACCATCAAGTGACAACGGGTCACTTGCCCTAGTAGGTTGGAGGCCATCGCTCTCAGGTTGGAGGCCATCGCTATTAGGGTGGAGACCATTGCTTATGTAAAGTGAAGCGACGCTTTGCGGAATTCAGTCGCTTATGAGGTGAGGAGGATTGATGCAGGGGCGGGTGTTGACAGGATGGTGAGGAGTTTGCGGAGAGGTGTTTTTTTGTTTTCTGTATGTTTAAATGACTCTTTCTTCCTTAACGCGCAATCCTCACCCTGACTAGGCCATTCCGGAGAGTTCCGCCCACAACGTAACTCCCTTTGCATCCCAATCTGGGCGTTTGAACGACTCTCCCCTCTCCACATTCGTTTCAGACCTTTTAATAAGGATGTTTCGCAAAGCTTCACACTCGAGGCACTTGGCCGCCTAGCGTTGGCCAAGTGCCTCACGTGCCTTTGCAAATGCAAACAAAGCACGTATCGGCGCCTGTATTGAATTTGCTCAAGTTGAAGCTGCGGCTTCGAACATGCACTTGAGCGCTGCGTTTGTTGGTCAAGTTTTCACTCAGATACTGTAGGTGTAAACTAGGTAGGGCAAGGTACGGCTAGAGATGAGGCTTTTTACTTCTCATCACTGTCTCCCAGCCTGCACAACTTTTCATAGCCCACCAGTGTTTGGCACGTCCGTCATTTTTGTGCTTTGGCACCTTGAGGCAGCCCAGATGAAGAAAAAGGCGGGCAGGGCGGTACGGCTGTCAGTGTCACCAGCTTGCACATTCCAAGTCACATCAATCCACCAAACAAGCTTGTGTTTTTTGTTCGATACACATATTGCAAAAAGCATTGTCTAACTTGCGGTCTTTTGACTCTGCTCATCTCTTCTCACTTTTTCTTTTCGAGCACCTGCGACAGTATTCAGCATTCAGCACCGATTTTTACGTGCTGCTGTGCAAAGCAGTGTGAACCATTCCAAAGAGTCAAGGCAGCTGTGGCAGCTGTATGCGGGCAATCCAAATGGATAAACGCAAATCCCAAGATGCAAGAGCGGAGATAGTTATGTTTATTCAGTCCGCTCCGCTCCCATTTCACCAGATACCAGATGAGTCGCTCGCAGACTTCGTGAGTGAGATCGCCGCAGAGTGCACCTACCCCAGTGCGCTTCGGGTACGCCTTGAGCCAAAACACGATGCCTGATCAGGCGTACGTGAAAGGAACTCCTGTCTTTTCATGGCAATCTTACAGTAGGCAAGGCTCACGGCTGACACCGGGCAGACCTCATGGTCTGAGCATGGTTCTGGCATACCATGAGGTCTGAGCCTACCGGGGTAAGCAACGGCTGACAGTTGTGGCTTCCGGAAGAAGATGCAGCTTGCAGAAAGCGTTCTGTGAGAAGCTTGATTGGATGCTTCGGAACTCCAGTGGTGGTAGTGCAACAATTTTTGCATTGCTGACGCGACTGTGCGGCGTGCTTGCTATATATGATGAACTCTCATCAAGAGTACTTGCAGAACCGCAGAGGGCCCTGTTTCACAGAGTTTTGAGACGGTTTTTCACACATCACTGGTTCAGACAGTTTAGTTTTTCGTTGAGATTTGTCAGTTTGCTTTTTGTGCCATGTACATTGACAGTCTTGAGTTGTAACAAACAAAATCAAAGCTAATGTATTCGGGCCTCTAAAGGAACGCCAGCATTCAACACAAACTGGAGCCAGGCCCCAACACTCTTATGTGCTTGGGGCTTCTAAATGGACGTCATCACCCCCCACCTAAAGCCCCAAAACACCTTGGCTTCTCTTAGCCTGAAAAAGGTGAGTTTGTGTTGGAACTTTTAAAGATAGTTGAGCCATAGGGCCATATTATGGCTACAAGTTTGGTATGAAAACACTTTTTCTAACTCAGTTGGAAATGCAGTGTACTGACGTTGGTCAGGTGTTGGCCTTGGTGCGGTCCAAGCACGAGGCGGAGATTGACATCAGCCACTAGACGCGACCGTACGGCCGGAAGGACCCGTCAAAGAACAAACCTTTGAGTTCCAAGTAAGAACTAAAAGTAAACACAATGTATATATATATATATTATCATGGCAAGAGACCCCAAACAGTGTGTGAGGTCTATAAGAAGAAAGTCTAGAGATCTAGACGCATTGGGCTCCAGAGAGGTGATGGTGAGAGAGTGAGCATCTGAGAGCACAAGGCGCCGAAATCTGCACTTCGAGGTTCACAAAGTGCTGTGCTTGCCACAAAATCTGCACTTCGAGGTTCACAAAGTGCTGTACTTGCCACAAAATCTGCACTTCGAGGTTCACCAAGTGCTGCGCCTGCCACGAAATCTGCACTTACTTGAAACGAAATCTGCACATCGAGGGTCACAGAGTGCTGCACCTGCCACGAAATATACATTTCGAAGTAAAGCAGCTCCGATCCCTTGCGCCTGTCACGAAAAGTCGACTTTGGAGCACCAAAGCACGAGGTTTCCCTGGCGCCTGCCACGAAAAGTCACCACCATGTGCGAAAATGCGCACGGCGCCACAACGAGAGGTCAGTCGCGACATACACACGCTCCAGCCACCCAGACTTTGCGAGCCTGCGCAGGCGAAATGCACTTGGAGGACGTCGAGAGGCATGAATGTACTGTAAATAGCAGCGGATTAGCCGCACACGCCCGCACGGCACAGCGATCTAAGCACAGCTGCATTTCACTCACCGTAAGAACCCCTAGTGTGTCCACATTGTTTGGGGAATTTAATACATATATTTTTCTTTGAAGGGGGGTAGGCCGTAGAAGCAGTAGCTAGAAGTAGCTAGTAGCTACAAGTAAGCTACTACCTACTGGACACAGGATAGCTCGCGCTTCTCGCACTAATGATTTGGTTCCTAGATTTTTAAGGAAACTTAACTAGAACAATTTCAATGTTACTACAGGTGAAACGATTCCCGGCCTCCACAGCCTGAAATTAAGGTCTTCCACAGCGGCCTGTGGTTTTTATAGAGTTGGGCAAGGCTGGAGCAGCTCGGATGACGGTCCGATTGAATACGTGAAGTTGCGATGATGGTCCGATCAGCAGCGTTGATCAGGGGATCATGGATTTGATCAACAGCTATTGCCACTCCGTCTACCTCTCCGTTCTCATGAACCCTGCGAACCAGCGGGGTTGGTCAGACCTGATTTCTCGTGACCTCATTGACAAGTTTCACAGCTTCTTGGCGAACGGCAGATGCTTGCACTACTAGGAGCAAGGACGCTACTAGGGGCCACAATAGGGAGGTTTGCATGTGACTTTGTGCTCCAGGCTTTTTGGCAACCCTGCATGTGACTGTGGGTCTCATGAAGGGCCAGACTCTCTTGCCTCTCCCACCCCGAGAAGCTGCACAGGTATCTTGGCAAGACATTGCTCGTTTTTGGTTGCAAAGTCACTGGTGCTTTCAGCTTGCCTAGCTGGCATTTTCTCCCTTCACCATTGCAAAACAGAAAATTAGCGTTCCAAAGCAACAAACACAGCTCATCAAAGTGCATCAAACACAACTCTTGTGCATCCCGCTTTGCTCTTCGAGGACTCGGGCGACAAGAGCTGACAGCTGAGTCTTTTCGCATCTTTGAAGTCGAGCCTTTGGCGATGCCGAGCCGAGGCAAAACGACTTCGTCCATCAGCAAGGAGCGAAGATGGACAGACGGATTTGCTTCATTTTCGGTGATTTATGCGTTTTTCACCTGACAAGCGACTTACAAGGACCGAGTTCATGTGCTTGAAGGAGCCGTAACTTGCCAAATGGGTCGTTCCAATGGTGCTTAGGAGCTAATGGTTTGAAAAATCTCGAACAGGCCTAGTTTCGTCTAACATAACGGTGATTTGGACGATGTTTTTTCGGTGTTGGGTTTTCCATGGTCTTCCTATTCGTTCTCATTTTGACCTTCGAGGTCATCACCTGGACGAAGCAGGTTCGCTACGTGCTCAAGCAGGACTGAAATGCTAGGTTTTGCATCTCCACAGAAACAACACTCTGTGCCTGTTTCGTCCATTTCTTAGGAACCAGAACACGTTTTTCGAGAAGGCAATCCTCAACCAGATGCCGAGCTGAAGTTCTGGCAGAATAGAGACCCTCAACTGCATTGACTGTTCATTGAGTGTGATAGCCAGCGATGATCTGACTTTAAGCAAGTTGCTTCTTAGTTAATGTTCCGAAGAAGGGCTGAAGTGAAGCAATCAACCCTGAACTGGAAAAGGTTTGCTTGACGATTCAACAAAATCTCACGCTTTGACTCCAGCTTTCCAGCTTCAGCCTTGAGGCAAGCAACTTGAATTCCATTCAAAACCAGCTGCAGATGGAGGGTGTAAAACGAGTTGCTTGGCTGACTTGCTGTAGATGGTGTAGAAAGGACACGAACAGGGAAAAAGGTGGAGCCCACGACCCCGAATGCGCACACACACAGACACACTTGAGAAAGAGCTCCAAGGAGCAAGAATTCAGGATCTCGGGGAGCGTTAGCACTTTATGTTGCATACTGTCAGCTACTTGCCTCTTACAACCAGGACTTGCGTACTTGGTTCTGGCTTTCGTTCCTCCCTTCTCAAGTTCTTTCTTTTGGTCTTTTCTCTGGGGTCCAGGTAGCCTCATAGAAGCCTAACACGGTGTGTTTGCAACGCCTGGAATGAACAAGTTAGCTGAAAACCGGTTTTTGAACTCACTACAAAACAGTGTTTTTGTGCTGCCAAGCTCGCCTCCAAGAGGCAACCAGATTGGCAAAGTTTGCTAACTGGAGAGACCTCCTTGTAGGAAGCAAGGCGGAAAAATGTGTGGAGGCCGTTTCCCGTGCGTCCAGGTTCTCCGCTTCTTGGAGGCCAACAAAAGCACCTACGTCTCACCTTTTGCCCGGCTGCAAAAGGAAGTGGAGGCCGCTTGGAACAAGAACGCTACGAACGGGGCTCCTGGCCGTACTACTAGGTGCAAGGACGCTACTAGTAGGGAGGTCGAACCTAAGTTGACAGCTGTTTTGAAGTTTGCCCAGATGCGCAATTTGAGGACAGCAGGGAAGAGGCAAATGACAATGTTCGCTTCCTGAAAACGTTGGAGCCGTATGTGAATAACCTCCTTTCCGAGTCAGCGGATTTCGAGGCCTAAAAGCTTCTTGTTACAGGTGAAACGATTCCCAGTGAAACCATGTCTCATTTCTGGACACATTAACATCACTTGTCTGGCCTAGGTCAGCTCTATATCAGACTAATTCTTTGTGACATGTGTCAGGGTTGTTTGCGGACACCTGTTCAAGAGGCTTTGGAGCAAGTCTTTGACGACATTTTCCACCTCTTGTTGCTCATTTGGAGGTGAAGTGTGTGAAAGATGATGGCGATGGCAACTCTGAAACTGTGTGACTGGGACATTCTGAGTTGAGAAGTTGTTTCCACCTTGCGGCTGTTGGAGGCATTCCAAGTACTATAATTCCTTGGCTCGCCTTGCAGTAATTGTTCGGCAAGTGTGCAACAGTCTCATCGCACAGGCGCGAAAACTGTGGAAGTGAAGAGAAACCCAAAACGAAAACGAAACAAAAAGCTAGTAGTAACAGGTGCCACGCTTCTAGTAACACTGAATCACTTCGTCTCCAGTTCGCAGGCCACTCGCTACATCTCAGGGAGTAGTGTGTTTGAGATGATCCAAAACGAGGCACGCGTTCTCTGTCTGGAAGTTGTCGGAGTCAGGGAGGACCGGTGGAGCAGTCATTCTGCAGCTCGCTATTCAACTACTTTCTAACGACATAAGAAGAGGAGGTTTCCAAAGATGATTGGAGACTTCCAATCACATCCAAGCGTAACAGGAGCCTTTGGAACTCGGACATCGTTAAGCCTTCATTACTAGCTAGGGCGCTATTCGGTGGCCATCGGAAGTAGGTTGGAGGCCATTGCTACTAGTAGCAGAAGCTACTAGGTTGGAGGCTTGAGGCTTCATGTTTTTCACGATGAGGGCGAAACTAGCTATGCTGACCTGTCGTATTTGGCTTTCAGGCATGTTGAGGCAGGTTCAAAGCGGATCGCAGTCTTTTACTGCTCAGACTGCCGTGTTGTGTCGCACGAATTGGTATAGTCTGTTTCACAGAGGACTGATGGGATATCCTCTAGACCGAGTGTCCCGTCCTGGTCCAGAGTGAACGGGTTCGCCAAAAACAGAGGTCGGAGTTCCAACAAGTGAGCGGGGCAGGAACAAATGCAGGGTAATGTCATGTAATGTCTGGATTCTTAGGAAGACTTGACTTCAAGTCCAGAGTCGTTTTCAACTTGCTTTCATCAGTAACAAGAAGCTACCAGGGGCTCCTGGCCTTACTACTAGGAGCAAGGACGCTACGTTCGGGGCTGGCATCGCTACGAACGGAGCGATCGGACGGACTTAAAATTGAAATTAATAGCTTTTTGTTACTACTAGTAAGGCACTTGTTACTACTAGTAAGGCACTTGTTTCTAGTAGCTTCTTGTTACTACTAGTAAGGCACCGTAGCACTTGTTACTAGTAGCGTCTTTCATCTCACTCATTTGCGACCTCTCAGAGAGAGACAGTGGCCTTTCGGAGAGACCAACCAAGCGACGACTCGTGTGCCTCCAGAAATCTGCCGCCCAAGTCCCACATGTCCGTCTCACCAATCAAGGGAGCAGCATCACAAGACAGTCTGAGAGAGCGAACCAAGTAAACAAAGTGTAAACAAAGTAAGCAACAAAAAAGCCTTGCGTTTGGAAGAAGGATCATGAAACACTTCACATGTGTCACCTGCGTTTCTTCAATCTATCGACTGAAAGCATTGGAGCAGAGGTGCACGGGTCGGTGGCTTTTCCTGGCGTGTCCTTTTGTGGTCTCCCTCCCTCCTTCAGGCTTATGTGGGCTTCCATTCCAATCGAAGTCTTGGCTGTGCTTGTGTTCTTGAGCTTTGGGAAGGACTCGTCTGAAAGGGTCGGGTTCAAGTTCTTTTTTGTTACTATCACCTCACCGACATATTTCACCGCTCTCATCTTCGTCAATACAGCTTGATCAGCATCTTCTTGATCACCGTCACCGTCACCTTCATCACTCATAGTCATCATTGTCGTTCATCATCAAGTATTCAGCTATTCAGCATTTTCGTCTTCATCAAAGCATTTTTCGCTTTTTATTCTTCGTCTGCTGTCACAATTGGGTTTGCCTGGCAGTTTTAGGTGACATATTCAGGGAGCGCGCGGCCACATCCACATCGTGCAGTCCTGACCGTCTGGCGCGTGGCGAACGCGTGCAATCGCCGCATAACGAAGACGAAACGTTCCTTCCCGAAGATCCTTGAGTCAACCACAGAGACCACTAGAACTGCCACAATAGGACAGGTGCAAGGTCCTAATTATATACACCACTTGTACAACAATGGTAGTGGAGCTCTATCAGACAGGGACATTTCCATAGCAACACACAGCAACACACAGCAACAAGCAGCTGCGGCAATAGCATCAGCATCGGAAACAAATGGAAAAAACCGACAGGGCAGCAAACCACATTGCAAGTCACGAGTTACCGCTCAAACCTCCAACTTTTGACGGCACCTATTCGAAGTCAACCAACCAGCTACCGGCGAGAGACCAAATCAGTCACATCAAATTAAACAGAGAGAAAGACACGATGAGTTTCCCATTGTGTAACCTTATCATAACAGCTCCTTCAAAGAAATCGTGTCGATCAGTGTAAACGGTCCTTTTGAACAGCAGAAACTGTTTGAAGCAATACTCAATATCCTTAAATTAGTAGTAGCTAGAAGCTAGTAGGTTGGAGGCCATTACTACTAGTAACAAGAAGCTACTAGGGGCTCCTGGCATCGCTACTAGGAGCAAGGACGCTACTAGGAACTCCTGGCCTTACTACTAGGACTAGGAGCATCCTTACTACTAGTAACAAGAAGCTACTATGCGTAGCTACTAAGCGTGTGAGGCGCATGAATGCCATGCAATGCTGGAGACGGTGATGCGTGCATTGAGATCCCTCCAGGCGCAGAGCAGTCGAATTGTGCGTAGATACGTAAAAAGTCGATTTGTCGTAGACCTGTAAAAGGTCTTCGTCTTAGTGTTTTTATTGTTTCATTTTGTTTCATCTTGTTTCCTTGAAATGGGTTTAGGGTTTAGGGTAGCAATGGCATCCAGTTGCCTATCCCTTTGTCGCTTTGCCATTCGAGCGATGCAGGAGGCACCCTTTTTTTGCGTAGTTGAAACACATTTGAATGTTTTTTTTTTTCCTGACCTTTTTTTGGTGCAGGATGCGTACCACACTTATCAAAACCTGTCAGAGCAAGGCGCTTGTGTGACATGCTTCTTTTGCAGCTTTTGATTCTGTTTGCATTAACGATCCTTGCAGTAGGCAGTTCCAGTGCAGCTGTGTCTCGAACATAGTCAAACCCAAGCAAATGATGTTTTGTTCTCTACTCATTTCACTGTAGGTTCGAATGGTTCGAATCAAATGAGCCACAGGAAGTGTCTCTAAGCGAAGTTGTGTCTCCCAGATTCCTAAGGTTGACGAAGTCGGACGCCACAGGACCATTTCGAGGGACCAGTGAGTCACACTGGACCTGATTGTGTGAATGTTGCCGCGCATGTAACGTGGTAGGTTCACTAGGACAACAATGGTACATATGAGAGAAAGGAAAGACGGGGGCCTTACCTTCCTTTTATGATCTTTTCTATGGCCTCCAAAATTGGACCCTTCTTCCTTTTCTTTTTTCTTGTTTCTAGTAACGATGGCCTCCAACCTAACAGCGATGGCCTTCAACCTAGAAGCGATGGCCTCCAACCCAAGAGCGATGGCCTCCAACCCAGAAAGAAGGAGGGGCCTTACCTTCCCTTTTGCATCTCTTCTTTTTCTTCTCTAGATCCCCAGGAGCGTTGAGAAGGGTTTTTCTGTAGAAGTTTTTTGCTATATCTGCAGCTTGCAGGTCGATACAATAGAAGGTGGAGGTTGCCAAATTGTGTAACTGTCGCCGAAAACGAAGGTGGAGGTTGCGAAAGTGCGTGACAGTGTAGCTGTCGTCGAAATTGAACGTGGAAATTGCCAGTTGCCAAAGTGTGTGCCTGTTGTCGGAAACGAAGGTGGATGTGGCCAAAGAATGCAACCGTCACCGAAAACGCAGGTGCAGGTTGCCAAGGTCTGTAATTGTTGTAGAAATAGAAACTCTGCAGTACAAATGTAGCGCGGGAAGCGGCTTCTGCCACAGCGCACATGTAGTAGCGATGCACTTGTTCCTAGTAGCTTATTGTTACTACTAGTAA